GAGTACTTCAACAGACTTTTTTAAACATCTACAATCAACACCAAATTCTCTTTAATGCAAAAAATTAGGATATACCTAAAAACACTGATGAAATTCCTGACTTAGAAAAGACATGAATTTCCTTTAATCCATATGGTCCAAGGACACAGTTATCGTCCTTTGGTTTTCGTTGTCTACAAATATAGTCCCTAGTGTGAACAGTGTATAACTTGCATTTTTTTTTTTATACACTTTCCAATTTATTTCTTGATATTTTATGCATGAAATATTAAGTAAGGGGATGAAATTACATGTTAAAAAAATTTGGGTGCTGAATCTTTATGTTAAGTAGTGATTTGGTCCAGTTAAAAAAGGTCAAAAATTAGAATGTCTGAAGCTGTCAAACTGAATTTTAGCCCCCCTTAACACAGAACTGTCAATATTTTGAGTTAGAGCTGGTAGAAGTTTCTATAATTTTGATATTATTTGTATCAATAGTAGTACACTACACTGTAAAAATCTTTTTGAGATAGAGCAGGTGCGATTTTTTTAATTTGAATTTATTGTCTAAAAGAAATGCACTACGAAATAACTGTGTTCTCGGGCCTAAGAGATGAATTCCGTAAATGTAGATTCTGTACTTTGGCAACTTTCCTGAATGGTTTGCTGGTTTCAATTTGTCAAACTCAATAAAAGTAAAGGATTTACATCTTTGTTTGACAGAAATTCTGTTAAAATGTCCCATTTTGGCATTATACGGCTAAAATAAGCATTTTAAAGCAGTTTCCATTTTATGCCTAAGAGCCATGCTGACTTTCTATCTGACAGCTTTTTATGTTCCTGATATTTGTGTTTCTATGCTTAAATCAAATTTAATTAACCATTTGTGAACTCGGAATCTAGAGAAAAGTAGATTATCACAGAAAAAATGTGTAGAATATTTGTATTTATGTCCCTGGTTAAACGGCCTGTTTGATGTATGTGAAATGCGAAGAGCTTTGTACATAAAATCTGTAGTCCATCACAAATATTTCACTAAATCTGTAAAAAAAGCACTTTACAATGATCAGTTCACCCTATTCATTTCATATGCTACCATAATTTTCTTCTTTAGGATAGTAAGTGGTTCAAATATATGCCAAATGAGACTAAAACTACATGCAAGTTTTCCATTGAAAAGTGAAAAACTGGTCATCAGACCATACTGTCTGCCAAAAAAATTTAAATTCAAGAGTCCTTTTGCAATTAGACTTCTTGTATCATGACATCTTAGCATAGAAATGAGCAAAAAGTAACAAATTTCAATTTCTTATAGCCTCTGTGTGCATTTTTATATGTAAATATGGGCTACGGCCTAAATCGACTCTAAATAATTCTCAGTCTTACATGGCCTTAGACCATTTTATACTCATGTGGTATGCTTTTTGTAACTTTTCTTTACATTTAAAGTACATTTTATATATATGGAAGAATAATGTATGGTTAAAAAACTTCAAAAACTTCAAATTGGTTGAAAAAAATGCATGTTTATGTAAGGCTTCCCTTAATTCGAAAATCTCTATTTTCAGGCACAGGCTCATATAAATTTGACTTTTGAATAACTGTAATAAATCTGATAAATCAAATGAGTGTTCCGTTGCTTTTAATACTTATTATATTAAATTCAAGAGTATTTAAAAAGCAAATTTTTGCAGTATTTAAATTTTTTAGGCCAAAATCTTGACAGTTGAAAATATTTGATTTAAACGTCAAAAATAAACATCCAAATTTCAATATTAAAATGGCCCTAGTTTCTATAATATATATCCTATGGCCATGAAACTTGGCCAACTATCTTATAATTGCCTAAGCTTAGGTCATGCAAAGTTTTATTAAAATTGGACAAGTCTTTCTATCCTATTAGGTCCAAGGACACAGTTATCGTCCTTTGGTTTTCGTTGTCTACAAATATAGTCCCTAGTGTGAACAGTGTATAACTTGCATTTTTTTTTTTATACACTTTCCAATTTATTTCTTGATATTTTATGCATGAAATATTAAGTAAGGGGATGAAATTACATGTTAAAAAAATTTGGGTGCTGAATCTTTATGTTAAGTAGTGATTTGGTCCAGTTAAAAAGGTCAAAAATTAGAATGTCTGAAGCTGTCAAACTGAATTTTAGCCCCCCTTAACACAGAACTGTCAATATTTTGAGTTAGAGCTGGTAGAAGTTTCTATAATTTTGATATTATTTGTATCAATAGTAGTACACTACACTGTAAAAATCTTTTTGAGATAGAGCAGGTGCGATTTTTTTAATTTGAATTTATTGTCTAAAAGAAATGCACTACGAAATAACTGTGTTCTCGGGCCATATCCGTGATTGTGTGCCAGTTAAACTCTGAGTGGTAAATACCATTAAGGGAAAACGGTACTATTTATTCTGCCATAGGCGACAATACTAACATTTTCTAAATTTACCACTTTTTATAATAAAAACCCGGATAAAACAGTTATGTGTAGTGTTAGTACTTTATTATTCTGTTTTAGAAATTGAAGCCAAATAGTATCATGACCAACTTCCAACGGAGCTTGTTAATGTTATCCATGCCCACCGTCATTTTACACCAAATTTATGACATTTTTGAAGTCTTTTCGAATAATTCTCTAGAAAATATTTCAATAGGTTTCCAAATTTATATTGTAAATATACACCCTGCAGTTATTCATAGATAAATAAAAAAAATATATTGTACCCTAATATCCAATCACAGCGCTCCAAAGTTGACTTCCTTCACCTGCCTTGGGTACACAAAAGGCCAACCTAATGCTGGGAAAATGTAATAGTACCGTTTTCCCTATAGAGAGATTTGTCATTGGGATTACATGTTATATTTTCCAACCTACCGTCATGTTTAAAACAAAACGCACTAATGATACTATACGTCAATCTGAATAATGCTAGTTGCTAACTTCTACGTCATTTTGTCTCTGGTGAAAAGTCGTCTCATTGGCAATCATACCATATAAATTATATATATAGTAGCAGAAATTTTTCTTAAGTATCAATTTATAAAAGGACACACTCACGTCTCAGAATTTTTTGGAGTGCTAGTTTAAGATTTCATCTTCACAAAAAGTACTGTATTGAACTTTTGGCCACTTAAAGGGGTGACTAAAACTGTTAAGAAAAATGTTGGGTATTTTTTGCAGAAACATGAAAATGAATTAAATGTCAGGCGATAAGTGTTCTCAATTAAGAAAAAGTTTTCTCCCCCTCTGCAATAGGCAGGGCTAAAGTTAAAAAAATATTACATGTTTTAAATCTGTGACTGAAAAAAAAAGGTTTAAATGATGGGGAAACTTAAATGAGACTGAGATCCAAAAATATCAATTAATCAAAAATTATATATTTCTTAGGGAGCCAAGGTAAAACAAACTTAAGTTGATATGGCATGCTTGACCTTTAATTCTGGATTAACCTTTGCCAGGAATATTCCCAAGCAAAGACATATATAAATAACTTGTACTCTGGATTTTAACATTTTGATTTCTCATGTTACATTTAGTTCAGCTTCTGCAAATGAAGTGACATTTTTGAGATGTCTTTAATGTATGCCAAAATTGTGAGAGTTGTGTAAGGTTAATGTTATTATCAGATCAATTACAACTCTCATTTAAAATTCTGACAGTGTTATTTGTATGCAGGAATTTCTAAAATTGCCTTAATTAATCTGAAACTTCTGTCAGTACATTGCATTAATAAGTGCAAGTGATTTTTTTGTTTTATTTCCTTAGGCGTCTTGAAAAATTTTAGTTACCAAGGGAACATTTATAATCATTTTGCTGAAGAAAGACAGACCATATCATGGCCAAAATTTTTTCTTCAGTATTTTCATTGTTTTTTTCAATTTTTTTCTATTTTGTTACATGTGTTTGCTCCAAATCAATTTTTCTTTCTTCTCTTCTCACTTAATGAAATGACGCTGGATAAATCAGCCTTCATTTACTTAAGGATCCCCGAAAGTAAATAAAGACAGATGAATCATTTTACTATCAATTTTCTTTTAAATTCTAATGTCAACAAGGACAATATATATTTATCCAAAATGGGATATAACTGAATTGTTACGTTTACATACATTGTGAATTATTGAACATCCATTTAAATTCTATTAGGAAGCAATTGACAATGTTAATGGATATTAAGCCTCAGGAACTTGTGACAGTACAATTTTCACATCATATAAATCTATTGTGTATTGAAATGTTAAGTGATTATATGGACCTATACATATATGTATGACTTTTCCAATAGAAGAATTCAAGGAAATAAATCCACAAGTACTTGTATAGTTTCAATAAATTTTACTGGTTTTGAGTCATTTTTTAGGGTATAATAAATCAGCAAGGCTCTTTGTGATGTCATTTTCTACTCAGTGTGGTTTATACATTTATGTACTGTTTTAGGTTATGAGAAATAACATTTTTGCTATATGTGACAAAAAGTTTTAAAATAATTTAAACTCTGCAAGTCCCTCAATCAATTCTCTAAAATTACACAAAAACATGTTTAGTTTTGTAAAACTCCCCCCCCCCCCCCCCCCTTCCCCAAAAAAAAAGATAGATATGAGATAAAAATAAAAATATATATGTGGTACATGTATATAAAAGGAGATTTTTTTATTTTTTTGTATCTACACCAAGAAAACAAAGTCTTCCTATTTCACTGAAAGCCTTTTAAAAAAATCTTTCACCAGAAAAGCATGAAAATCTGTATAATGTTTATTGAAAGTGAAGGTTTAACACCTTTATAATTTATAACTATTATGTCACAGTATATTTTTATGAGGCTAACAGAATTTGAATCCTGTTTCACTTCCCCATTCCAATGTCCATTGTCTCAGTCCAAATATTTTGCATTTCTAATATCATATATGAACCAACATTTTCCACTTTCTAATCCAATTATAATTAAATTTGTTCCTTACAGATTAATAGATTAACTACATGTACATGCATAATCTACCTATGTACTTACGACTTCTCTAGAATGTTAATCCTATTGAAGACCACAAATATTTAATTACACTCTCATCTGCTTCATTTCAATATTTCAACTCCATATATATAATCCTGAACTGCACACATACATGTAATCTATTTCCTACAATAAACAATTACAAGGGAGATAATCCAATATAATTAATTTGTCACATTCTTCCAGACAATTTAACATAAATATCATGAATATAATCACATGTGATCATGCATACTAAACAGTAAATAATAAATGCTTGGCTAGTTCACAGAGTCACACGCACCTAGTTTAAATTACAACCTCCAAATGAACATTTACTACCTTAAATAACTTCAGGTAATTCCCTTGACACGACTTACCTGAAATAAGCCTTCAGGTGAAAAACTTATAATTTGTCATTTGTAGTTTCATTTAAATTTTCACCTTCTACTTTCTTTTTGATTTCTGAACTGTATCTAAATATATTAAATGTCTAGTAAATTCATTGTTTAGGAATTTCAAAAATATGCACTTGAAAATATGAAATGCCGGTGAAATGTACATGTACATTCTTTAGTGAATAATTATAAAGTAATGTAATAATTATAGTCCCAATTAAAAATCCAATTTTGAGTTCAAGTTTGTTTGTACAGATAAAAAATGTTAATCAGCAATACATTCATCTCGAAAATATGCATGGCTTGCTTATTGTATGTAATTGTAAGTCCGAGTTTAGTAATAAGATATTGTTTTCATGATCTTGTTTACAAATTAATGAAGCAAAGAGTCATTTAAATAAATTTGTAAATTGTAATAAACAATGCCTTTCAAGCATCATTTATTTCAGCTACATAGGCAGGCATTGTCATGTTAATGAAAATAATTAGGGATAATTATTACTGAACATGCCTTCTAAATTACAATATTTTCTTTGTTCAAATTCATCTATCGATACTCAAATTTACCTACCAAGCATGTCAAAACTTATCTTTGAATCCACAGTTGATTTATTGTCACTTTTTTGTGTGTTAATTATGAATGTTTGTGTGTCTGTGTATTTTTTATTTTATTTTTTTATTTCCACGAAACATTTTGAAGTATATAATATATATATATACTAATTTACAGATTTTGCAACTGCACAATAAGTAAATTTACTTAAAAATTATCAGTACAGCACAATACAAATTTTGCTTTAGATTTAAACCCCTGAGTATAGCATAAAGGAAGGGAAAGGGGGATGTGAAAATTAATAACTTTTTAAAACATGAATGATACGTTTCTACATTTTTTTACCAAATATGATTTAAAATAGGTCTAATACACCACCAAAACATGTGAAATAATAAGTGACAAAAACACTACACTAAAATAACCCTATCAACTCTTTACAAAATCAATCTCAGTACGTGTACTTAACTGGCATACCTTCTTGAGCAATGTTTATATGTACAATTTTTTTAGTGTTGGGAAGCTGTGTCTTTTAAAATTGACATATAATTCATGCATGCTTTTATTCATATATATATTCAACAGGGTTAAGTGCAGCTTGAAAACAGAGACCTTTGTTCAATTTTCTTCTAGTTCAACCACAAAACAATTTGATTAAATATGTAACCATCCTTTACAACCACAAACATGACACAATAAACAAATAACATTAGCTAATATTTACATGTACCTGTACTTGTAAAAATCTCAGAACACAAGGAATTCAGATTGAATATTTAATCCAATTCATCCAAAATTGTTCATTTACTTGGTTGTTTTTAAATGATCACTTTAGTCCAAGTTGTTTGGAAATAATCACTACAAGTTCAAAATGGGAAATGATTAATACCTGGTCAAGTAAAACTCGTCTTGATTGATGCCTGTTACATCATATTGAATAGTCAAATAATATTTGTTTATCCTTACAGAGATGAAATAAGATTGTCACTCTTCTTCAACAGTCATACTTCATGTTGACACCTTTTAATGTACACCTGGAAGGGGTAATATTTTTTTTATAAATACACATCAAAAGTTAAGAGGATTAATGGTATTAATGACCTGAGATAATCCTAGATTTAAGTTTGACTAAGTATACAAATGATACATAACATTGTAGTTAGTTATGATTTAAGATTATTTTTAATAGGATTATTTGATTAAAAAAATACATGTCTGATGTTTCTGAATGAAGGTTTATTAGGTTTATTACTTAATAAATGAACCAACCCCGCACATGGCAGGTGCGTTTGACTCTAGGCACTCTGGTTTCCTCCACCAATAAAAACTGACAGCCACAAAAGTGGTGTTAAAACACCAAAAATTAATCAATCAATATAAAATGAACATGTATTTAATTTAGAACAACTTAAATCTTCGTCATGTTATTAGATGCAGCATGTTAAGGTTTGACCATTATAGGTCAAAGTATGGCCTTCAACAAGGAGCCTTGGCTCACACCGAACAGCAAGCTATAAAAGGCCAAAAAATGACTAGTGTAAAACAATTCAAACAGGAAACCAACGGTCTCATCTATATAAAAAACGAGATACGAGAAACACTTAAGAACCACACCAACAAACGACAACCACTGAAACAGGTTCCTGACTTAGGACAGGTGCAAACAAATGCAGCGGGTATAAACGTTTTAACAGACGCCAAGCTTCACCCTCACCTGAAATAGTAGTGTAACATTACAACATAGGAAGACACACTACAAAATATCGATTGAAATGGCTTGTAAAACTCAACCAAAAAGACATATTAACAAAAACAAGTAAACATACACTGTCATGTCAATATTTTTAAAACTTACAATATCAGTTAAGAAATAGTTCATCAAAACTAAAAAGAATTGGGATCCTTGTTGTAAAAAAACCTCATCAAAGATACCAGGCTTATAATTTTGTACACCAGACATGCATTTCATACATGCATGAAGATTTCAAGACTCATCAGTAAGGCTTAAATCAAAAAAATTAAATGGTCAATTAAGGTATGAAGTTGAAGAGCATCGAGGACCAAATATTTCAAAATGTTTTACCAAATACAGCTAAGGTAATCTATTTCTGAGGTAGATCCGTTAATGTAGATAAGATGCAACTACTTAACATTTTGCCTTAATAGAATTGCATAAATTGTAGCATGGAAATCATATTTACACACAATTAAATTCATGTATACCATACAATTAAATTATTTGCTTTGACTTAAAACCAAGAAAAAAATGGTAAAATGAAATAAATAAAATCTAAAAATAGGATTTTTTTGTTCAAGCATTGTTTTTTGACTGACAGTATGAAATCAAAATGTATAATTTAAAAACTCATTTTTTCTACAAACTCATTAATCATGTTAACAGATGGTTAAAAATTCAAGGCAAATTTTTTAACTTCATTGCATTGTATACTGCAAATTCAGGAATTATTGCAAGGTTTTTATTATTAATGCGAGTTATGCAACTGGTTGAGTATTGCAATAATAAGAACTTGCATTCTGATATAAGATACATATACACATGTACCTCTATACAGATTTTACTGAAATCGCAATAATTAATCTCACATTTTTGTCCGTTACTCAAAAGTTGCAGTAATAAATGCATGCAATAATTTGTGAATTTACAATATTCATCTGTGTACATCTGTGAACCTTGAAAAAGATGAGAAAAAAAACAAGTATTCTGTGAGTATTGCATGGCAATACATAGTCCTCTACCGGTTAAAAATTCATTGAATTGGAACAAAATTCTAACTTGATCTATAACTTATCATCATGATGGTGTAAACTATATAACAAATATCAAGTCAATATCTTCAAGCATGACAAAAAAAGTGTTGAAAACTGATTATATAAGTGAATTTTCTAAGTCCAAGGACCATAATTCTGCACAAAATCATCAGACCTGAACAAAATTCAAACTTGATCTGTAACTTGTCATGATAAAGCTATATACCAATTTTCAAGTCAATATCTTCAATCATGATGAAAAAAAGTGCAGAAAACTGATTAATTGAGTGAATTTTCGAAGTCCAAGGACCATAACTCTGCACAAAATCATCAGACCAGAAAAAAATTCAAACTTAAACTGTAACTTGTCATGATTAAACTATATACCAATTATCAATTATCAAATCAATATCTTCAAGAATGACAAAAAAAAGTGTGGGACGGACGGACAGGAAGTGCAAACCTAAAGTCCCCTTCAACTTCTTTGGTAGGGGACTAAAATCAAAATCAAAATTAAAAACATTCCCTTGCCCCTTCTTTTAACAGAGGACAATACACAAATTTCACTTAAAACAGAACTTTAAATTTTTGTTTTTCATAAAGACAAAGGTATTATAGTTTTATCTTTATCACTGATCTCTCCACGGTCTTTTAAAACAAAGTTTTTTATCCTTTTGATCTGGTTTAGCATTGCTTCAGTTGTAACTGACTATGTATAAATAAACTAAACTTCACATACTTTCTGGTATCTTTGTAATGTTACATGTTATACCAATACAAATTCATCAAAAAGACAAAAAGGGTAATTTGAGGACAAGGATATGAATAAAAGGAGATCTGTTTCTCGTTTCCCGTTTTTTATATAGATTAGACCGTTAGTCTTCCCGTTTGAATGGTTTTACACTAGTAATTTTTTGGGGCCCTTTAGAGCTTACTGTTCGGTGTGAGCCAAGGCTCCGTGTTGAAGACCGTTCTGTGACCTATAATGGTTTACTTTCATAAATTTTGACTTGGATGGAGAGTTGTCTCATTGGCACTCATACCACATCTTCTTATATCTATAAACTTCAATATAACAAGGCATTGAGACAGCAACCACACAACTCAAACCACAGAGGCCAAAATATAGTCTTCAACCTATAGTCATGTAACTATAGCAGCACTTTAAGCAATTTTTAGACTAAATACTAGCACTTACTCAGACACATACATTTGTTTATTACTTCATAATTACGTTAAAAAATAGTTTTTTTTATCAAGTTTCAAATAAATGTACCACAATAAATTTAAAGATATTAACTAAAGAAAAAATTTGAATAAGAAAGCTATCAACACTCTATTGAATATGTTCAAGTGCTAACAAAGATATATGTATGGCCTGTGTGTAAGAATGATATATATATACAGTATAGTGTAAATTTAGAATTTTGGTCAAATGTTCAGGGTGATGTTTAAACGTTACGTAAAATGTGCCGTACATTAATTAAGGATCATTCTATCGATGATTCCATGAATGAACAAA